AAAGCAGTTATCATTAGACATTTACTCAACAGTGCCACGGATCCTTTCAATCGGCAGCCGCTTAGCGAAGATATGCTCGTGCCAAGTAAGTAATACATGTATTGTTCATATTTTTCTCTTTTTTGATAGTCAACTTTCGCGTTTAGTCTAAATATTGGTAACATTTCATAACAATGCATTTTCATATACATAAATATATTAGAAAAATATTTGATGCGTCATAGATAATATAGTTTTTGACTGTCCTTTAAAGTCTATCGTATTGAAGTTTTTTAATGTCTTATGCCGATTTAAAAATATGTATATAAACTATTGTAAGTTTTTTTATCCATGTAGAAATATATCCCAAATTAATATTTATTTTTGAAATTGCAGTGCCCGATTTGAAAGAAATAATATCAATATGGAAACAACAAAAGAAACAGTGCTAAAGTGACAAGAATTATGGCGCCATCTTCTGCCTATAAAGGGGATTATTTTACAAAATGACAAAAAGAAAGTTCCTATAAAATTGTGTTAATGAAAAGATGCCTAAGATGTATGCAATGACATGTATGCTGACATATTTTTATTATATGCAAGTCCAATCTCGCTTGAACATCTTTAGTGAATTGGAATACAATTTCTTTGTATTTTTTTTTTTTAATATGTTTGCATTACTTGTAAAAATAACACTTGGCTCATTAAATAGTCATAAATTATTATCAATGTGAAAACACATTGTATAATCTTCTCATATCCTTTTTTTTTACATGAATTTATTTATTTTCCCCCTCTTGATACTTTTAGTTTACGTTTCTTCACATGCTTTTTTACTTTAATTTTCCTTTTCTCTGCTTGCTGTTCTTTGACTGTCTTTTTACGTGCCTAAAATAAAAGATAATTTATATATAGTTAAACACTAATACAGAAAAAGTAATAACATGTATCTTACTTTTTTGCTGTCGGGACTTTCATTTCGGGGCCTAGCCGAATTTATGAATTTGCTCTTATTATCCTCGCTTTTTGTTTCGCTATCATTTTCACTCTCAGAATTATCACTATCTTCAGAAAAAGAACAAGTATCGCTTTCTTTTTCTGTATTTTTAACTTTCTTATGTTTGTCAGCTAGAATCTCAGGTGCTTCTGCAGGCTTAGATAAGTCTGCTTTCAAGCCAATTAATGTTTTGTAAATCAAATTTTTTCCAGATTTTGCAAGATTTATATCACGTTCCACATTGACTACCTACAAAAGAATCCACAAAATAAAAATTTGTATCTTTTCAACAGAAATTTCGTCTTTTTATTCAAATGAAAGTTACACATTGCATGCATTTATAGTAATCAATGATACCTGAGTTAATCTTTGAGGAATATAAGCTTGCTTAAAAACTGCCTCTTCTATTTGCTGCTGTGGATCATTTTCATTATTTGCCTCTTGCATTCGAATATCTAGGTATTCGTCCATATTTTTTTCATTTATGGTTGGATCTGTTATGAAATCAAATAATGCTTGAAGTGACATAACTCCTACATTGTGCTTTTTGAAAAATGCTGAAAAGAATAATTTAAATATATCAGAGATAGACGCTTTTAATTCTAAGTGAAAATATCATAAATATTTTTGTGCCATACCTGTGATATTGCTACAGTCATTTCTTAGAAATTCAGTTGCATTACAATGATCACGATCTACAGCTTGTGAAACATCAATAACTACGACTGATCCATTGTGATACAATATATTATACTCGCTTAAATCAGCATGAACAAGCCTACACTTATTATACATTTTCCACATAATTTCGATACATTCTCTATATAACATCCTCGATTTTGAATCTGTAAGTACAGCGTCCTTTAGTTTAGGTGCCGCCCAGCCATCTGAACCCAGAAACTCCATCAACAACATGTGACCACCATATAAAAGTGGTTGTGGTGCTCTGACACCACCTTGTTCCAAACGCTTTAAATTAGAGAATTCCTTTTCTGCCCAGATTTTCACCATTTTGCGTGGATTGTGCAAAGAATATACATGATCGAAACGATATTCTCCTCTAATATATTTTTCTCGATTTTTAAATGTTAGGATGGATGTTCTATATATCTTTATAGCAATCTCGTCTTGGTTTTTCGACTTGGCATAATATACATTGGCTTCTTTCCCAGTCGAAATACAACCATTTATTTCTGCTAACACTCCTCTCTCAAACAGTTTGTGCAATTTCTTCTTGATACGTGAATCCAATACATTCTCGGTCGTCGCGTGATCGCTCTTATCTTTCATCCTTATGCGATCTTTAGCAACACGTTTGTCGTTCTCAATCAGTACATTGGCTACATGGTCTGGCAATGACGGACCCGCATATTTCTCTAAATTAATCTTATTTGCATAACGAGTCAACAACTTGTGTTTTGGTTGATAATTTGTTACTTTGGTAGGTGGTTCTTGAGTATTGAATCTTTGTGAACTCGTTTTTATAACAGCATTCTTATCTTCATATAAATCATAATCATTGTTACAATAATATTCATCAGTAATATGCAAATTGGCCACTTTTTTTTCGAGATATACATGAGAATACATATCAAACGATGTTTCTTTGACTTTGTTCTGCCTATAAAAAATAAAATATAAATATATAGTGGCTTTTTAAAAAAAGTGCACAAGATATTTGTAATTTTGTAAATAACTTAAAAATAGCTTCAATCTCTATAATAGGTTTTTTAATAGGTTAATTTTTTAAATTCAAATGATTATTTTACTCATGATGCTCTTGTTGGGAACTAAATATATTGGCCTAAAATATAATACTTACGTGCAAGGTACTTCGTTCTCTTCCTCGGCGTCGCTAAATTGACCTTCTTCGAATTTTTCTGACATGATTGAATATTCTCTTTGAACGATAATTTATTTTTATATGTTCGTTAATTTCACAATGTTTTGCTCCACTGGAAAGATTAAGAATTCCGTACCCGTATAGTATTGAGAGAACTGGTTAAAGAATATTAAACCGAAAAATAACTACTCGGTTGACGGTATATTACATATCTTCTTATAAAAAGAATAAAATGTTTTGCTCTATCACGTGCTTACGCAAAATTCGTATTGCGCAAAGTTATGTATGTCATATAAATATATATATATCGGATCTTTATGTATGCTCCGAAAAGAAAAATTCCAAAGGGTGGGTTCCGTTTGACACCAAAGATTCGAACCATTTGATTGACCAATCGGAGAAAAGAAACCTTTTCATCCTGATTGGTCAATCAAACAATTCTATACTCTCATGGCACCAAATGGAACATACCCAAAATTAATTCGTTTATTACAGTAACGTAATATCATTGGTTTATTCTCCAAGATTTATATTAGGTTCGATTTTTAATCGATTTCTAGTAAATTCGTCTGTTCCTTAACATTTTTGTTTATCTATATGTTTCGTTATCTATGATAAACGTAAATTTGTTGTTTACATCAATATTTAAACTATCCAATTATGTTGAGCTGATAGAGAGTAAGCTTCTTTTCAAAATTTTTGTATTAATATTGTTCTCTAATACATTTATTATAATCTATAACTTTATGTATATATTTAATACATCTATTATTTCTGTTATACAATTAATATCACAGCTGATTATATTTTTTAATTAATTAGAAAAATACATAAATGATTTTTTTTCTCTGTGTTTATATAACTAATGTGCAAATGGACAATTAAATATGTTTTTAAAAAATAGCAATAAATAAGATTATTTTACATAATGCTGTATGTATGTTGTATAAATAGATGTATATAAGTCAGATTATTCAGAAACATATCGCATTGTATAAAGTATCTTAATTTTAGTATAAGTTTATTTCTTTTAATAACATATATGTATACATAGAATTAAGAGAAGATAATTGTTTTATATAAATGTAAAAAACATTTTCTAATTTACCATTGGCATAGATTCAAAGTTATATGGTCGAAAAATAACTTTTTCGGTAAATATTAAGCTCAGAGTGATAATATTCAACCATGGATAATATTATGCAATCTATTCAAGGATGTAATGTCATTCGTTATACATCTTATAGAACTGCTGCAAAGATGCAAATATTACATAAAGAATTGAATAGTAAGCTTTTTTATTATCTAATTTTCTGTAAAATAAAAAAAATAGAACTATTTTTCCAAACTATTTTATTTCATCTAGTGCAACATGTACAATTGGAATTAATAGCAGGAGTATTTGAACGTCATAGACTTTCCATCACTGAAAATAGTGTTAATTTAGACTCGAGTGAGATTGAAGATGTTCTGTCTGATATTTATTTTGCGGCGCAGAAAGAAAGTAATTTTAATTTTGATGTTGATTTTATAACAAAGCTTGCTACAAGTTACATTCTGAATACTTTTGACAAGTAAGTTCTGGCTTTCTTTTTTCTTTTTTTACATTCTATACATAATATTAACGTATTAATAATTTTGTTATGCTTTGAAGTATCTTTATAAGTATATGTATGTAATATCAACAAGAAATAATTTTATAGTGAAAAAGGAGGTTCTGATAAAATATAAAAACATGTTTAACATTTTAGACAAAGTACTGGAAATATTTTAGTATTTTCAGTAAAAGTTGCATTGGTATTATTGAGTAATGGTAAATTACAAGAAAAATATGGATATTTGTATCAGCAGCTAGCCGATCACAATGCATGTTTATCTAGAGCTGGTTTACATACCTTATTAACAAATATCTGCAAAATAACAGAAATGCTTGGAGAAACTATAACATATGGGTATGAACAGATTCAGACACATATAGATGCCTGTTTTGTAAAGGTATAATACAATTTATTTTGTTCATTTGTTTTTTTATTAAAAATGAGCTATTAAGTCATCTTTTAAAACACATTTTAGTCTCAAGGAGGTCTTGGAGTTACTGAAGCAGAATTTGCTGCATGGATCATGCAGGAACCTCCTTTGCTTGTTTGGATAACAACATTCAATCGAATAAAATCTGCAGAACATAGTAAGCAACAGAATTAAATTATTATATACTTAAATATAATAACACAAATTATATTTTTCTTTGCAGTTGTACATAATATCAGATGTTCTTCGTGTAAAGTAACACCGGTACAGGGACCAAGATATACATGCTTGAAATGCACAGGATACCATCAATGCCAAGAATGTTTTCTCTTAGGCAAGACGTCAAACAAGCACAAGCTGAAGCATCCAATCCGTGAATTTTGCATGAAGGTATATTGTTTAAATTTCTTTCATCGTGTGAATTAAATTGCTTAAAAAAATAATTCTTTTGCAGACTTCACATCGCGAAGTTACAAAATTGATCATTGAATTGATAAGAAATAAATTGAGACTGTGTCCCACTAGAACAATCACAATAGAGGATCCAGTTACAGATGCTACTAGGTTCGTATAAAGTGCACCTTTACAATTTTCTATATGTTTTTACAATATTTTTTAGCAACTTTTTTTATATATAGTAATGAAACAAGACGTACGGATTATGGTTCAGTAAGAAGTACTATTAAACGAAAGATTCTCAGTGATCCGCAAAAGGAATTACAAAGTATCATAATGCATTTGGAAGAGGAAAATCGACAATTGCAAATTGAATTGCTCGATATACAAGGCACCAAAGCAGAGAGATTACAACGTCATAGAGTGACCATCGAATCTCAATTGCAACGACTAAAAACGCTTAAGGTATATTAGTCGAAGATTGTTTAGACATTATTCAGTAACTCCGTTTAATTTTTACAGAAATACTTATTTACTGATATGACTCAAGTACCACAGATTATCACTCGTATGCAAAGCACCCCGATGTTACCGCCTTTATCATCCAGACTTACAGCACTGCCTCTAGAATTCGAATTAAGTCCAATTATCAGGCAAGACACTGCAGATCAACAAAAAACACTTCACAGAAAAGACAAATTAACATCAGATAGTTTCAATACCTCATCACCTATACAGCATACAGGAGGGGAAGATAACACCAATGCTCTTTCTTGCGCCCAAGAGACTTTTACGAGTTCTGGATTCGGTAATATACCAGAAAACAGTCGTATGGAATTAAGTACTTGGATTGGAGGTGAATCAAAGTTTATCGACGCGATTAAAAACAATTATGATAGATTAATGCAAATACATGTTGAATTAAATTTTAGGAACAAGGAGAGAATTGAGTACAGCTGACAGTGGTTTCTCTCAGTGGTTGGTTGCTGGCAATTCGAATTGCAAGAATAACTATGTGGCCAATGCAGCAATTAATAATACAAATAATGACTCGTCGCTGGTAGCTTCTCAATCCCCTACAGGCATTCATAGAGACAATACTCCATCTTCCTTGCAACGGCCTGACAAACATTCACAACATAGTAGTTTGCAAAATATTCAAGGAGATCTTAATGATATATTAGACAGACTGCAAAATATGGTTGCTAATGACTGTTTACTCGATGGTAAGTTTTCAGTAATTATCAAAAACAGAAATATGAAAGGGGGAGATATCGGATTTTTAAATATAACAATAATAAAATAAAATAATATTTATAATAAAATTATCTCGACATTTATGTCACATGTTAATGCAAATATGTATAAATAGATAATTTATATATGCAATTTTTGTAGAATCGTACGACGGCAATGACAATTGTAAATTGAAACGTGCCACAACAGAAATGGAAGATCTATTAACTGGCCTTATTGAAGGTATGGAGTCTCGTAAAAGTAAACTTACTACTATTGTTTGAAGGCATTAATACTTCAAATAAAAAATCTAAGTATAGTACATTTAAACATTTTTATATTGCAATGACTTTTTCTTTTAAGCATAATTTCGATAAAAATCTGAAATACTTTTTTTTAAACTCTTATTATTGGCATAATTATGAAACTTTATAAATGTGCCATTTGATGACATTATGCATTATCCAAAGAAAGAATGTATAAGTTCTTGTAAGCAATAATGTGTGCACAAATATTGCATTCGAGATATCACACTATAATTATAGTTATATTTAACATAGTAATTACAAATGTAATTATACATATATAATTATGTAATTTTATATAATTATTTGATAGACTAAAAAATTTTTTGACGTTCTATATGTATATGTATTAGATTGAACGGAAAGTTCGTTCCGTTTTTTGCTAACAGATGAAGACCGAAAAAACGGCACGAACTTTCCGTTCAACCGAATATTTATATATTTGTGCAATCATAAAAGAAGTAATCTATTTTGATATTCCTGTTAATAAAGAATTGTCTTATGATTGTCTATAAAAAATATGGATAAGTTATATATATACATATGCATGTAACTCTCTTTAAGAGTTATAATTTACTCGTAATTAAGAAATTATAATAAACCTCATTATATATAATGCAAAAAGAAAAATCATATATAACTCTGTTCATTTAAGCTTCCTTAGTGCATTGAATTAAGTTGTTATGGCTCTTCATAAATACATATACATTTGCACAAGACATTATACTTTATGTCAAAGTATATTTTATTTTTCATAAATTGGAAATATTGCATACATACATTCAATTGAAATGTGAAAGCGATAGATTATTTTGTTTCCAATTATAAAACAAATGCCTTATATTCTAAGTTTAAGTCAATTTTACGACCCGACTAGATGGTTGGTTATAAAAATATTTAATGATTAAATAGGATGATTAAAGTATTAATGTTTTATATTGATAAATAACATTGATTAGTTTTTCCTACTTTATATTATCACGCAGCAACTATGTTACATAACTCAATAACAAAACTGAGATACAAAAAGTGTTTGTATCTCAATGTTGTGTTGAACTAGTCTAACAGAAATTTGCCGAATTTTGTATAGCTAAATACTATATATTTGAAATATGTAATTTTACATTTCGGAAAGCCAGCAAACTGTTTTCAGGATAATCAAATCCGTAACGCGGAACGAGAGTGAAACCAATCGCGAGCATTCTGCAGTTTTTGTTACGCTCGCGATTGGTTCCCTTCTCGTTCCGCGTTACGCTAATCCGCGTTTCCGCGCTTCATGTAATGGCACCCTTATACGCACCTAACGTTGCAGCTAGATACATTCTGTGGTAACGCGTGACGTAAGCTGTGACGTCACTTACGCATGCGCACGGAGATTCCCACATGGGAAAAAATCCCACGGCAGCGCATCACTGCACACGCCTAACAACAAAACTGTTATACGGTAACGAGTACGCAATCTCGAGGCTGGTTCTCTTATGAAGGATTCACACTGTTTCCAGTGTTTAACGCACGACATCCAATAGAAGAGTTTGTTTTCTAGAGATTAAGTGCCGATCTACAATAGGCAATTTAAGCCCTAAACCTTATGACTTAACCTCTAAACTATGACGTATTTTCGGCCTTAAACATTTCTCGCGCTGCCTTAAGCCCTAATCTCTAAGCCCTAAAGCGATATCTACAATAGGTGTAGCAAGCCTTAAGCCGTAAGAAATTGATCAATCACAGTTGAATGTGAGAAGAATAATCAAATATGATTGGTTAATTTCTTACGGCTTAAGGCTTAAATTCTCATTGTAGACACCGCTTAAGCGAGTTGGCCAACTCCCATCTTTTAAAGCTTAGAGCTTGAGGCTAGGATCGATGTAATTTTTCTCTTAAAACAAAGGCTAAATCTTAAATCACCTATTGTAGACCGGCACTAAAATGTCATTAATTAGGGAGAGAATATTTTCTATTGGATCAAACTGTGTGTCATACGTACATACACGGACGCAGTATGAATCTTCCATTATACGGCGCAGTGACAAGTGACAGTGACAGATGGAGATAAATCTGGACAAGTCATTTCATGAATCTGTAAAATCTTCTATATGCGCGAAAAATATCCGGATTAATTTGATAAAAATTTAATTCACTGATTATTTTTTTTTGGAATGTGTGGAAAGTAGATATTCTATTTACACATACTTTTCTTCACTCTATATGTATGTGTCTATTACGTAATAAAAAAAGATTCAAAAAAGTATCGGCATATGCTTAACCTTGCGAGTTAAGAAAATGAATATGTATGAAGTGACAAACAAAAAAATTCGCTGTCGAAAGATGTAATTTGATTCGTGAAAGAGTACACTTTATCGCGTCTTCATTCGTGATTGATAATCAAATACGTAGCCTGATCTTTGTAGCGTGTATACGTGCATACATGAATAGGTATTTTACAATGATTGAGCATACATATTAAAGAGTGATTATACATTTTCAATAAAATATCATTGCAATACATTCAAGAACGAAGCGACGAAACGTTTGAAAATATTTCTACGTAGATATGGCTGGAACGAAATCCAAAAAACCCAGTGCTCTCTCGAAACTTTATCTGGCATCGTATAATCTCGGACAGACTTTGGGGTATGTTAATTTTTTCTGTAATATCAGATGAATAACGAAACGAGTAACTCCGAATTTATCTCTGTCTAAAATATTTGCTTTTTAGAATATTATATAAAAGAAATTTGTTTATTAGTCGGCTATTTTTATAAAGAGCTTTCTTCTATACTTATTATTCTATATATGTATATTCTGTTCTCTATACATATTATTCTAACATATGCTCACTTTCACAAATAATCTTTTCTCTTTTATTTTAGATGGAGCTACATATTGTATCTAATTATACAATATTACATCAATCCTTTTCATAACACCTTGTGGGATAAAACACAGTTACCTGTAATTATTTTTCAGAATGCAGCTGCGTTAGAGGTATTTATATCTTAGTAAGAATAGATAAGCAGAAATAAACGTGTTATTTTTAAAGTTAATAGTTTTTAGATATCTAATGAGAACATTATTAGTAGCAATATTTGAGAAAGTGTTATATAAAAGTTATATAATATAAAATTACATATTATATATACATACATACACTAATTATATATATTGTTTATGAATGATTCATTATAAAAGCTTACTTTTTTTCAGATAATACACGCAGCAATTGGCCTGGTACCTTCCAATGTTATAACCACAACAATCCAAGTTTGGAGCCGTATGATGGTTGTGGTCGGAGTTATCTTAGCTACTCCTGATACATATGCTGCTGCATCTCCAGGACTTCCGCTAGCTCTCATTGCATGGTCTATCACAGAAATCATTAGATACTTCTATTACTTTACGAATCTTATTGGTATTACGCCACATATATTGGTCTGGCTCAGGTAATCAATTTTGCTATAATTAAAAGATATCAAGTTTGATATCTTTTAATTATGATAGTTGTTGCTTGATTTGTGTAAACATTAATTAAAATATGTCTTTAGGTATACCTCATTTATTATACTGTATCCGATTGGGGTAACTGGTGAATTATTATGTTTCTATGCTGCTATACAATATTCTAACGCTAATCCTGACTCATGGAGTTACATTTTACCAAACAAATGGAATTTCACATTTAGCTATCTATATGTCCTGATAGGAGTTATGTTAGCTTACATACCACGTAAGTATGCGATAGGATATATAGGTAAAATAATATAGAAAACAATGGTATAAACTATAAATTATATTTGCATTTTGTTGCAGTTTTCCCTCATCTTTATCTGCATATGTTTACACAAAGACGAAAAATGCTCAATCCTAATGTATCTGCTAAGAAGGCTCATTAGCTATGAAATTTATATATAAAAAAATAAAATAAAATATAAAAATTTGCTATATGTATATGTATATAAATAGGGTGTGAAAAACGGGAAAATTTATTTTGTACTAAGCATATTATTAATTTAAAATATGTATACTATTAAATATATGAAATATTTATACTGTGTATTTATTTATTCTGTTCAAATTGCCAGAGGCTAGCTATTCTTATTATTTTCAATAAGTTTTTGTATATTATCTCAATCATCGAAACTAATTTAAAATTATTTTTCTTTGAGCGATAGAATGAGATAGAATATCGATTATCGACTGCAGCTTAGAATTGTCACAGGCCAGAAAAAAGGTTATATGTTTTGCATACTGAAGGAAAGAGGAAATATATTACAAAACGAAAATTCTCCGTTTGATTATTTCCTCTTGATGTAATCACGAATATTTCAACATTCATTTCAACATCATTTGACAAGAATTTAGTATTACTAAAGAAAGAAGTCTTACCTCAGTGAAAAACATAACCTTCAAGATTTCACATTTATTATTAATATCTATCTATTTTAAAGTTAAGATATACAATGAAGATCACGCAAGTATTATACAAGCAACACATAGGCAGACAGATTACTAAATTGTGGTATATAAAACGAGAACGCAGGGTACACAGTGACAAAATAGAGGATTATTTATCTAACAAACATGGGATTCAGGTGAAGAATGCCTTAGATCTGACCACTTCAAAACCGACCGGTTTAAGGTACTTAAAAAAATCTAATTTTTTTACAAATTATTATTATTATGTATATTAAATTTATTTAATATCAATTAAAAACTGTATTTTACATCAGGTTGGGAACAGAGACACTCAAACCAAAAATATCTTTTAACAAAATACATCCTGATTGGAAAGCACAGGCTTGTTTAATATTTAAGGATCATAATGTTCTGCAAGAAGGTTTTCGTCAAGCACAGATATTAACAAACACTGTGTGTCTGTCGGATAGCTCTTCAAATTATATACAAGATTCACTCTTAGATCTACCAGAATATATAGATGACATAGTAAAAAGGTATATTAAATATTTAGTTTTTTAAAATCATATATTAGGTTGATGGCAGAGAATGAGATGTAAATGCTTACGTCTGTCGTAGTCGTGGATGTAAAGTAGGGCAGTGTCTTACATGACTTGCTATCAGCCTTATATGTTCATATCACATATATGTTTTTTGTTATTTTTAGGATAATTTATACTTCAAACATATTCGATGCTCATCAAGAAAAGCTACCAAAAAGGAAAGATCCTGCAAGACCTGCATGGGTATTTCCAAGAGATTATGGCATAACCAATTGCAGAAAAATGTTAGCAAATTAAGAATTGAGTATTTTGACATACATATAACAATTTATATATTTATTTTTTAAACACATTTTTAATTTTTATAGGAGGAATTTATCCAGAAAGATCTTGCAACTTTGTGAATCTTTATCTGGTCCAGATATTGCAAGGAAACGATGCATATTGTATGACGGAATTACAAAATTAAATTTAGGTAATCTGTAACTATATATTTAAAAATATTAAATATCTTGCATAATTTAAACATTGCGTACTATAAAAATGTTTTTTCAGAAAAAGAATCAGATCTCATCCAATTCACCTTAAGATCAGATGTGATGATCATGTCAGCAAGCCCCCTAAAACCGTTAGAAAGTTCTAATTGTAATATAGAAATAGATCTTCCAAACATTTATCCGATGCATCATACTATCAGTTTGGATCGGACAAATTTCTACAAAACTGAAGACATATATCGTGAGTTTAATTGCTCATCATATTCAATATACATATTGTCCTCATAATATAACAAGTAATACAAGTTGTATTACATCCAACAGCTGTCAGCGCAACAACACCTTGGAAAAATGTCCACACTATCTTTGTGCACTACGACCCAGAGGAAGTAAAAAATTTGACGGAATTGGCTGTGACAGAAGACCAGATTATTGGTCGCACCATGATAAAATCGTACACTATGGCAGCGTTTCATGCACGACAAAAATTCGGCTCATCCGTAAAGAAATTGCCAGAACCCGTGACCTTGCAGTGCATTCAGTCGGACGGGAAAAATTATCACTTTTTCATATTTCAACTCAATTCGCTAGATGCTAACGATGTCAGCGTGAAAAATTTTTGGTGCGCTTTACCGCCGTTGACACTCTACGAAAAAGCCGAATACGATAGTGCCAGGCCTATAGTCAAGGGTTATAATCCAGAGGTGTTTAAGAGGATATTAAACTTTTACAGGAATGGCAATTAAATGAAATTGTTAACGGATTTTTAATTGTTTCTATATGGAACATCTTTCCTGTATCGTATATATATCTGCAAATATCATTAATATACAGCATGTGTACAGAATTGTTACATGATTGTCAGAAGATTTTCGAAAAGTGTGCTTGCTTGCACATTCGGGTTGATTTCTTTTGGTTTTACACGTAAACGATGATCCTGTGGTGGTTTTATTAAATTCTTCATTGATGGATAAGGTTTAGAATAAAAATATATGTGACACAATGCCTGTAACAATTTATCGATTTTGTTTATATTATATATATATATATATGTTTGCACATGCAAGAACAATTTTATATTATAATACCTGCTCAGCTGTCAGGCGTTTTGACGAATTATAAATCAAAATTTGCCTGATTAGATCGGTAGCTTCCGGTTGTGCATCTTGAATAATATTCTCCCATGTCGTACCTTTGTGATAAGGAAAGCTGATTTTATTATAGTCTGGTAATGAAGTCAATCCAGGCCATGATTCGGATGTAGGAGAGCCTAAATACTTCAAAACTATAGCTAGCTGCTCGATGTCAGTTTCACCCTGTTGCATAATTTTATATAAAATACCAAGATTTTATACTATATATTTTATCAATTTATTTCAATGAAAGTAGGATATTTACTGGAAATAACGGAGAATTGTTTAACATTTCGCCGAATATACAACCGATCGACCACATATCAATCGCAGACGTATAATATCGCGCTCCATAGAGTAATTCCGGTGCCCGATACCATCTTGTGGCAACCTGATGCGAATATGGTTTTGTACTATCCTTCCACATCAATCTGCTCAAGCCAAAATCTGCAATTTTCAAAATACCTTCGGCGCTGATCAATAGATTTGCAGGTTTCAAGTCCTAAAAATATAATTTGAAAAACTTTTCAATATTTTGGAAGAAATTGTATTTATAAATCTTATTAAAATAAGAATAATTTTTGAGTATTTGAATACCCTGTGTATTATGTGCTTTCCATGTACATATGTCATACCCTCCAACAACATTTTCATGTATGTTTTAATTTGCCTCAGTGTTAAGGATATGTCAGCATCTCTTAATACTTCCCATAAACCTGTAGGCATATATTCAAACACCATTATAAAGTCCAAGCCACTTGGGAAAGCATCCAATAATACAACAACCTGCAAGCAAACTGCGATAATTACAAATGTAATAACAATGCTAAATTAAAATATAAATAAATGTTTTAAAAATCCAACTAATTTCATGTTTCAGAAAGAAGAAAATATACATAGGGATGTTCAAGTTGTTGTAAACTTTTCACTTCGCGTATGATGGATGCGGGTAGGCCGTCTTCGGTCCTTTTAATCAAGATTTTCTTTAATGCTACTTCTTGATCTCTAGATACATCATGTGCTTTCAAGACCAAACCTTGCGCTCCTTCACCAATTTGACCATTGATGATATATTTCTGCATATCTGCTATTTTATCTTAAACATTTATATTGGAAATATTATTATGGATATAATATATTCATATATATTTAAATAATATACATATATCCGTAATTTAAATTAAATACTTAATTAAATAGTGTGTAATATTAAAATCCTTGTGTATAAATTTTGTATCAGGATCCTTATATTTATATAAATATCTTTGAAAGATTGAACTATTTGCTGACATATTTTTATATTGATATTTGAGAAATTAATTATTAGTGCATACGATACGATTATCCTGTATAGAAAATGTATTTTACAGTTTCCATAGTTACCAGTAAGGTATATTTACATACATATATATATACATATATATATCTGTCATGGCATGTATTGACATTTGCCTCTTTTTCGCGATGCTGATTGGTTCTCTCGCTGTGCTTACTTCATAGGGCGCGTTCCACTTAACGACCGCAACGCTCGCGAGCATCATCTATCTTTGTTTAACTTTCGGTGAACAACAAAGATGAAATGATACCGTGAGTGTGCGGTCATTAAGTGGAACGGGCCCATAGTAGCTGTACCGAGATATCACACACGCCTATTATTGATGATACATGCGCGACTATATGCATATGATATGTATTAGTATACATACTTCACAATATTTTCCAATTGCAAATGCATAGGAGATTAATTAATTTGATTAATTTGATTAATTTGTGATTATTTCAATTAACAATCTAAACACAAAGTTAATGGCTGTACGTATTTAGGTTATTTAAAATACATTATGTAAATGTGATACACGTATACATACATGTTTAAAAAACAGACTGCACATGGATAAGCTACGCACAATCGAGTAGAACGAGAAATAATATCAACGAAAAAAATGAAGCAACAAATAATTGATTCCAAAGCAAATCCTAACGCAACTGGAGAAGCCGACGATTGTCTCTTTGAATATTTGCATGCTGAATTGGTCAATTATGTTTTGAGCAAATCATCTAATGCAGTAAGTAATGAGCATAAGATGATAGTAATAAATAGTGTTGTTTGCATGTATTGTAATATCTTGTGTTATTTACTACAAAAGAATTCTCTAACTGAAAATATATATGATTTTCAACAGGAAGGCGAAGAAGAGCTTTCACGTTTAGAATGGATGGGATTCAGTGTCGGATACAGAATTATTGAACGACTAACAAGAGAATGGAGCAGATTCAAGGATGAACTGGATATGATCAAGTTTATCTGCACAGATTTCTGGTCCAGCTTATATCACAAACAAATTGATAATCTCAGAACTAATCATCATGGGGTATACGTGCTGCAAGATAATGCTTTTAGATTATTAGATAAAGTTGGTACAAGCAACAGCAAACAGTATCTTAAAGAGAGTCCTCGTCTGCTGGCTTTCACTTGCGGTCTTCTCAGAGGTAGTTTAGCAAATCTTGGTATTATCAGTACTGTTACAGCAGAGACTACTACATTACCAAGCTGCAAATTTCATGTTCAAGTTCAAAAAATTTAATAGCTGTTCTATTATGATTTGAGAAACAAAGGGATATATAGATATATATATATAAAGAAACATATATGATACAATTTCTTGTATTTATCAAATATAAGGAAATATAATAGATATTTATTATACAATCCATATACATTTTTTGTGTTTAGTTAAAAGGGATCATTAATTTTCAGAAAGAGAGGATAGTTATAAAAATCATGTATATATATATATTTTGTCAATCATACATTTTCTTTTATATATCCATGAACTACTGATGTTGATTTTTACTCCAAAGTACATCCAAATATAACATTTATTTATAACAATTGCATATTTGATACATTTTATATAATTATTACAAAAATGGATGTATAAAACTTAAATGCTTGAAATTTACAAATGCTGAGAAACCCTAGGAAAAATTATATCAAATATTAAAAATTTATATTAAAAATTTGATATATTTTTTATTACACTTTTATTTGCACAGTTCCATAATTTACAAAATTATTACAAAAATGGATATATAAAACTTAAATGCTTGAAATTTACAAATGCTGAGAAACCCTAAGAAAAATTATATCATTATATTAAAAATTTTAGATAGGTATACAATTTTGTCCATTGGCCCCTTTTTTTCATTTCACACATATACGTAGTGAATTATTTTTTACAAGATTGCATAGATACAAAAAATAATAGCATCCGATATAATGTTGCAAGAAATTCCGCAATTCAATCGTTCTTATATCTAATCTTCTCCCTTATACAAATATGCAGATATTGCATAAATGACAATCTTGCTTTATCAAATATAACTACATGGACGAATTTTACATAATGCTATTATTCTGTGCTGTATTATCGCCCTTCATTATGAAATTGAAAATATCATTTTGATTTACTATCCCGACTAAAGCATTGTCGTTGTTTAAAACTACGGCATAAGATTCTTTTTCAAGAATATGTGATAGTTTGCCCAATGTAATCGCAACTGTAACTTTCGTAAATTGCTTGATCATAACTTTCTTGGCACAATCTGTTTGCTTTACTGCACCAGAAATCAAATTAGACAGGAGCACGTCTGACATGATAACACCTCTCACGTGTATTTTCTCGTCATCAGTTACCAATAATTGTTGAATATTGTTAGCAGTTTTAAAAAAATTCACAGCATCTTGACATGACATTCCTTTTGATAATATTGTAGGCTTATTTAATGTTAAATTCAATAACGGTATATTCCACCACCATTTGTTTACCTCTATTGAAGCTTTGCATGTCTGAAGGAAAAAAAGATTATGAATTAGTAAATATTTTATATGCTTCTACAATTATATCTAAATGTACGATATCTTAGATATATCACAAATAATTTTACCAAAAAATCTCTAGCTTCCATCCATTGATCCGATACGAACTTTGTCATGTAATTGCGTATGCCATCTGGCAAAAGAATGATCAAACGTTTATCTGCCGGCAGATTTTTAGCGATTTTAATTGCCGCTGAAAGTGCCGCTCCACTGCTACCGCCACACAATAATCCCTCCTGACGAATTAATTCACGTGCTGCGTTTAGTGATTCACAGTCTCCTGTTTTTATCCACATATCAACAACATTGTGATCCAAGACCATTGGTATAAAGTCATATCTGCAAGACATAAAAAAATGATCGCATTTTATCAAAAGCTATATTATTTTGTAGTATACATAATACATACCCGATTCCCTCTACTTCGTAGAAACCAACATCCTCCTTATTCAACTTGGATGCCAAAATGCTTCCTACCGGATCCACACCAATAATTTTTGTATCAGGGGACAGTTCCTTTAATTTGCGTCCGATTCCGGTGATAGTTCCTCCAGTACCAGCGCCAACAACAACATAATCTATTTTGCCATCACATTGTTCCCAAAGTTCAGTTGCAGTTAGATCATAATGTGCTAATGGATTGCCAGAGTTAGTATATTGATCTAAGACAATACTATTGGGTGTCTCTCTCTGCAATTTTTGAGCAACACTGATATGTCCTTCCGGACTATACCAAGCGGCTTCAGTTGGTGTTCTCACTATTTCTGCACCGAGAGCACGAAGCACATAAACTTTTTCGTTAGACATTTTCTCTGGCATCACAATGATGCATTTATAGCCCTTGACTGCTGCAGCCAACGCTAGACCAATTCCAGTATTGCCGCTTGTTGGTTCAATGATAGTATATCCTGGCTTTATCAGTCCCTTTTCTTCCGCATCCTGTATCATTCTATGCGCTATTCGGTCTTTTACAGATCCACCAGGATTAAAGAATTCACATTTTGCATCTGTATAAAAAGATAGCAATAGTTAATGATAAGAACTTTTATCATTTCAAGTTTTCTTTCATTTATAAACTATATAATGATATAGAAATTTTTTACTAACACATTTCACACTTAATCCCACGAGATTTAGGAATATTATTGAGCCGAATGAGAGGTGTCTGACCAATCGCACTTAAAATGTCAGGTAATATTTTGTTGCGATTTGGCATCCTGTAGGAAACAAAATAATAAGACATATTTATTGGGACATTTATATTTTAATATGTTTTAAAATGTTATATACACAATATTAAATAAATGATATTAAAATTTGCAATGTTTGAAATGTTACAATGACATATAAATTTAATGATAAAAATAGATTAATAAATGTAACTATTATCTTTTAATCAAGTTATTTTATGTTATTTTTCATCTATTATAGTCATACTTATTTACACAATATATATATATTATAATTTGTAGCAATATCTATATATTAAATTTTATTATATTTCTTACATTTATTTAACTTTCCATATTTTGATTGTAATGCCATACATTGCAGTCTCTTGATAAATTTGGATATTAAAATTTAATCATAGAATATGTTGTAAAAATTTCTAACTTAAAAGTAGTATAGAATTGTAATGTTTAGCATGCGCATATGTAATGGTAAAATTGAAAAGTTGTATAAATTTAAAGTTTCCAATTTCAATAAACTTACTCTATCCGTTTAGTGTGGGGTGAACTTTCCTCATTCGCTTTCCATATGCACTTAGCTGGTTTATCTGGTCGATTTAGCTCCATCATTAAAATTTTTGTCTTTCTATTATCAATTAAATAAACCTTTCTCTAGAGAGAGAAAATTGCAATAAATTGTATAATTAAAATATTCTTATACAAAATTAAAGATATCAATGATGTAATAACTCAATGTGTTATGTAAATTTCTGGCTTATAACGTATTATATAGATCTATTCTTTTTAATTGAACAATTGAAACAATTGCAACAATTAAAAAATTTCAATGTTTTAGAATGAGAAAGAAGAATGAAAAAACGGGAAAAAAAGCGATTTATGTAAAGAAAATATCGATGTGTTGTATTAATATTAATCTTGAATTAGAATGCGAAAGCACGTCTTATCAAACAATATCTCACTATGCAAAATATAAAAATCTAAACCGCCAAGTATATTTAGATTTATCACAATCGCTTTGTCGGTCACTATATATATGTATGTACATCTTAAACGTATTAATCATGCACGTGGCTGGACTCGTGTGTTCATTTTTATGATAGAAGCTTTGGATATTTATCATAATATAAATATAAATAATTTTGTAAGCAAATTTGTTTCAAACAATAATAAAAATCTTACTTCTTTTGAACCAAAAAAAAAATAAATAAATAAATAAGACCTCAAAAGATATTCATCAACTATAATAGGAAACCATCTGATGATAATTTTAATTTATGCATTTCTATTTTATCAACTAATGATACGTTAAATTTAAAAAAACTAGTAAATTATATTCCTTATATTTTCTTCTTAAATATTCTCTATATTCTCCATAGATATTCCCATAAACAATTAATTTTATAAATTTTATCACCGATAATCGATCCTATCTCTTAATTATTTACTCATACCATACTAAACACGGAAATTTCTCTACAGTTACGGAAGAAACTTGTCTGTTTTTCATCAATGGTATATTGATATAACCTAAAATTGCACGAGCATGCCGCCGAAAAAGAATGCTGGTGCCGCGAAGTCCAATAAGGGTAAATCCTCGGAAGAGAGTGGAAAAACAGAAAAGAAAGGTGGAAACGCAGTGAAAGTAAGAAAACATTTTGTATCGATAAGTAACACGTATACCATATAACTATATCATGAATTATTAGCTGTTATGATAAACGAACACTTTTATTTTAAATATTGTATACAGTTGTTTACAGCTTTTATCATTTTCGTACAATTTATTTTATAAATACAGGTTAGACATATACTGTGCGAAAAACAATCGAAGATATTGGAGGCATTGGGAAAATTAAAAGCTGGTCAAAAGTTCAATGAAGTTGCAGCAACATACAGCGAGGACAAAGCCAGATCTGGGGTAACGTGAATATATCGAAAAAATATCATCTTAATAAACAATTGGAAATAATTGTGTCTGAAATTTTGCATTTTGTTTATTATCTGAAGGGTGATCTTGGTTGGATGACACGTGGTTCCATGGTAGGACCCTTTCAAGATGCTGCCTTTGCATTGCCAATTTCTAATTTGGCATCTCCGGTTTATACAGATCCACCAGTGAAAACAAAATTTGGATATCATATCATAATGGTAGAAGGTAAAAAATAGCTTCAAATACATATTTTTAAAGTTCTTTTATAAAGTTGTTATACATATTTGATTAAGTAAATATGATATATATTATTAAGCACTCTTTGTGAAAGTCTCTTGTTTAACATCTGTGATATATTATATATATCTTTTATTAATAAACATAATTTTATGCAATTTAAATTTTTATATAAGAGGAAGACATAGTTTATACATTTTACGTAAGCAGTTAAAAATTAATGTTATAAATATAAATGAACTGCTGTGTTTCTTAATAATAAAAAAATATGGAATCATTTATTATTCATGAATTTATTGCTATCTGGAATGTACATTAGTATATATATTATTTTAGGAATGTACTTATTTCATATATCTTTTTGTAATAATCTAAGAATTGTGTGTGTGTAAATTGTAGTTTTTATTTTATCTAATTTTCCCTATCTATCTTTAGGGGATTATGTCTAAGAATATAAATAGTAATATCTCCTGAAATCAAATAATGCCTACAAGTTTAATTAAATAATTCATACTATGTGGGGTCTAATGAGTATGAGATGTTATAACATTATATATAGGGTCTGTTCTTTATAGCTGAACTGACTGCACTAGTTCAGAGTTTATCTTTTTCTCTCCCCATTGGAAGGAGAAAGATAAGGTCTGAACTAGTGCAGCCAGTTCAGCTATATAGAACAGACCTATAATAGTAATAAATAAGATGTTCTATATGCTACTCAGTCGCTTCTCTGGCGTAGACACACATTTGAACGTTGTAACATTATAGGTGCTTAAACCCATTTGAACAAAAGTAAAACTATTGTTCTATAAAGTTTCTTTTATATGCGAATGTTGGGATTGGTAAAACGAACATATCTCAGGAGAGACTCGTTGTCCTCGCAAACCCATGGTTTCTTGTGATGACATGCCACATCATGCCAGTTTACTCCATCATTATAGAATTGGTTGAGGACAGCCAGGCAATTCTCGGGAGCACCGCCTTGAATAGCCTCGCGATTGTCAGGCTGTGGTTTGCCGATACTAAATAAAACACATATATTGCCCACATACAGAACGAATTCTCGTAAGATGAATCAAGATATTTACATTATCGCTTTGTCATTTGATATTACGTATACGTTTAGAAACCTTGACTATTAGACGCACGATCATTGATTATAGAGCAAAAAAATAACAGGGAATTGCAATGAGCGGGTAAAAAAGATTTAATCACAACTTGTTCAACATCCTTGAACTCAAAAGTGTGAGGATTGCGTATGCACGATCTTGACTTCGATGTATCTCGATATGTACAAGCGTTTGAATAGCAACGATTTGAATTGAACAATGCAAAATTACAGGTCGGTATACTCCATGAATATGTAATATTGCGAATAATAAGTCTTACCCGCCGCTCTCGGACCAATCATTTTGGCCGCGATCGTTGGTGGGTGCTAACTTCTGCAACTCGGCGGTCCAGAACCAACCGTTAATATGAAGGGGCTGCAGATCCGGCCTATCGCAGCCTTTGAAGTCACAGAGGCGACCGGAGGTCCAGATGTATTTCACCTTGTCTGCAAAAGAAGCGTATCACATTAACATCTTTAATTTTTCTACTTTGATTGCCCACGAAATACAGGATCGATTTGCAGAGTAACAGTACTTTGAACGATGCGGCTCTTGATAAATTCGTTCTCGGCGGAGGTCTCCAACGAAACTAGATCCATGCAACGTTGTCGGCAAAAGTTTCTACCTGATAGCCAGTCTACTTCTTGTCCGGCCGTTCTCGGATCAGCCCACGAAAAATAATAGCCTTTTCCATTGAATCGTTGATGGATGATCCCTGCGAGAAAAACCGCAATTAGAAGATCGAGTGAATTAAACCACATAGGCGCTAGACAATCGACAATAATCTTTATAAACGTCTTTGAATGTTTAAGAGGTATGTTTACATTAGGAAGAGCCCGAGGTCTCTCGCTTGTTCCCGGAGTGAAAGTTGCGAAATTAGTGTCAGTCGAGGCGGCGACCCCGGGCAATCGCAGTCACGACCTAGACATTGACACCCGTGCTGTATATTGATTTTATCACGTGCGTCACTTTCCAAATAAAGAAGAAGAAAGTTTTTTATGAGGGGCGCGTCTTTGGAACGCGCGTCAACCGGCTACGCCTAATGAATGGATAATCAGTTATCAGGTTCCGTGCATAACACATTCTCTTCCATTTCTTTAAGTCTAGAATCTCGTCAATGATTTAAGTCGAGGATCTCTCTCTTGCGTTGATTTTTATTCTCATTTAAATGATTTGTATTATATAATTTAATTTTTCCAAGATTGAGACCCATTAGAATTTTTACAACTTTTTTACAAGACAAAAAATTAGCGTCATTTACGTTACACCAAAAAAGAAGTTCAAGGTGAAATATTTCATATAAAGCTTAATAATCTTTTCTTTTGAGATAATTTTGATGCATTCTTGGAAGTTAAGTTAAATTGATAAGTCTTTCATCTATGAATTCCTTCTTACATAAAAGGACAAGAGAATGTTGGGAGATGCTGAGAATTTGGAAAAGACGACATTCCAGATTAGATAATTAATGGTGATTTATTCTCACCGGTTCGACTCAACCGAAAACGCGATGAACGTGAAAGTGCCACCCGACATTCCGTACTACTTACGACGAGGACATTTACAATTCAAATGCGTTCGAGTTACACCGCCGTCGGTGTCATCGTCACACTTTCTATAACGAACATCGAGAAAGATGCACAAGATGTGAAAGATGAACGGTCACGTGTAATTAGCGATGAGGCATCGATATAAGAGGATGCGGCAAACGCGGAAGATACAATGATCGAAGGTCCGAGGCGGAGTAGGAAATAGGAAAATGGGTGGAGGAGGAAGATTCCGCAGCGCAGGGTTGCGGCCTCTCTTTAATGACAAATATCGAAAATACTTTCTCTGGTTCGTAATTTCTTCGGATATTTGACGGCTGAGGGAAATGGAACGGAGGCTCTCTCCGGCGTGAACTTTTAGAGAGAGCATTGGGAATGCTTGTATTATTTACGTCCTACCGGAAGATTAATTTGTATAAAAATTCTAGGTGGTAGTTTCCACAGCCAATATACTTGCAATAAAGTTTCTGAGAACCATAGCCGACAATTAAGTTAATTTAGCATTGAATAATTCAATAATTTATGCCTTTAATTTTTCCACAATAACATAGTGAAAGAGCATTATTTTGTACGATTAAAATATTTTCATATCAACACAATATAAAAATTTGAAAAATGTGTAAAAGGTACATGTTAAAAATATTTAATGCTTAAGAGATAATTTTAAAAGCTTCATGTTGCTTGGATAGTTTTTGATAAAAATAGTGATGTATAAAGCGAGACTTACTTTGTGCGCAAAGTGCTGGATTAGGCGATTCCAAAATCCGACCACTGGGTTGTGGTTGAAATTGGGCGGTGGATAGCGTCACAAGAGCAACAAAATACACGATGAGTGGTATCATTTTTCTTCTTTTCTTCTTTTACGGCCAATAAAAAAGAAATGCAAAAAATTAATATTGAAGTATAATGAGCGAGATCTATTTTAATTAGAAATCTATTTCAATAATTTATCTTCTTCGATTCTAATTGGTAGAAATGCTTTCTTTGTTATTTTTAGGTTTAAACCCTGAACTTTCTTGAAGAGGCGACCGTCCTCAAACCGGTTCTATACGATTCCAACGTATACAGGGTGGTACCTTGTGCCCAATCTTATTTTATATGATAGATGACAGGATTTGATTCAACTAATGTTAATAAATATCATTTCTTTTATTTTTTGTTGTTTATGTAGATAAAATATAATTAAAAAATTATATAGAATTTATTCTTAATAATTTAGTATAGAATCTATTAAATAGATAAAAAAGTGAGCGCAATGCTTTTTAAAAAACTCAGAAACGGGAATATGTGAAATGATATAATTTTAATCGCATCTAATTATTTTTCAGAAATTATATGTTGAATTTACCTGATATGGTCAGCTGCAACTCGATTATAATCAGCAAGATTAAGCGTTTCAATGTTCAAACGCACTAATCTCCACAGAAGAAACTTCAACAGGACAGGTACTTTCCACCTGATGCTGTCCTACAGACGCTCAACGAAGAACTGCAGTGTTTTCTTGGCACAGGCACCCCTATATATACACAATGAGGACACATCGCGTCAATACTTTTACCATCCAGTGAGCCACGTTTTCGAGCGTCAAAGTCTCCGTGATGGGATTCGCCCGTCGAAGACTTCGACGCCATACATTTCGTGTGAATCGTTCGATCCCTCCTTCTCTTTGTCTTTGTGCAAAGGTCATCCTTGGATGCGAATCCCATGATATTCAGAGCGATGCTTAATAATCGCGCCTTTTCTTTGAAAATTGCAATACGTCCTGCGACTTTTTCTCTCAAATATAATTATTCGAATAGCTGCTTTCGATTTTCACTCGTTTATGAGTAGCTGATTAAACTGGCTTTAGTCGAGCTCATTAACTCGTATCCAATATTCCGCGGAGACCGCAAATACTTTCTAGAAAATTTTGGAAACGGTATATTGTGTCGAAAATAATTCATGCATAAGCTTGATCAATTTTTAGAGAATTAGAAGATAATATAATGTTCCTGAAAGAGATTCCAAGATTTTCTACTGGAACATAATTTATAGGATTTTTTTTCTCCAATTTTTCTTAAAGTTTACTATTTTTATACAGATTATATATGAAAAGTGGAAAGTAAAATCTCTGTTGATGCGAGTGAAAGGAAAGTACACGAAAGCATGGAAATTGAAATAACGCTGCGTCAAAAGTTCTCAGAAAAAGTACATTTTGTAATATCCAAATATGTGAAAGAAATTAGTGGCGCGTTCGTCGTAATATGGGTATTTGTTTAAGACGGTCCGTTTTTGATTGCGTTCGACGCTTATTGAAGATTTCTGAGAAGAGGTGAACTTTCGCTTGTACGTCCGCGGAATTTAAAACGGTCTTTAATTCCAAACATTTTTTTGCTACTTACATGCGAATTAATCGGTGTGTGCAATGTTTTATATTTATTTCTAGATTTTGAAAATTTCTCATTATAAAAACATTGCATGTTTGATTCTTTAAGTTCTTTCTCACGGCAGAAATTTGACGAATTAAAAAATTATGAAAATATTTCTTTTGAAATTGATGGATATTTAATTCTTAAGAGATTAGAGATTGATCTTATAAATTAAGAATAAGAGGTGTATGAGTAAAAAAAATAACAAGAAAATAAGGAATTTTCATTCTTTAATGTTCTAATTACTCTTTATTATAATTGAAATCGGAAGAAATTTTCGTCTGCGAATTTATTTTGCAATCTATTTATATTTGCGTTTAAATGAATATTTGTATTCTCATGTTACCAAGAACTATCAATTTTCATACAATCTAGATATAATTTAAATCTTTCTATTTGTTTTGCGAAACAATAGCGCTAGTTTATTTCGTTAACATTAAGGCCGCCCTACAATCGACAATATAAGGAATAGGAAACAAATATTAGAGATAAGGACTGACTTGCTTGTATAAGTTATGTACACACCAGATAACTTGGAAAATTGAAAAAAAAGTTACTTTAACAAAGTCAAATCAGTCCTTATCTCTAATATCTGTTCCCTGTTCTATTTTCGATTGTGCGGGAGCCTTTACTCACATAATCTCTATCTGTCGCGAGAAGATGGAGGAGCAGATTTCTTTCCTTCTTGTTTATCTTTCTTCTTTGCTGAAATTTTATCCTCTGATGATGATGAAGAAGAATCCGTTGTTGTAGAACTTGGAAAGATGATGAAGTGGATTCATCGGAACTAGAGAGTTCATCCTCTTGAGCGTTTCATGCTGGTACGGTAGTCGGCTTTGAACGGGATTTTAAGTGTTCTCTTAAATCATCAGTCAAAGCACCCAAACCAATTGAAGTAAAAAAGTTAATTGCAAAACGCGTATTTTTCGGATCATCTCTAGGAAATAATCCTTTCAACACTTCTTGTAGTGTCGTATCCTTGATTCGTTTATTCAGTCTTCCCAGACCCATATATTCTGAGAGTTCTTGAAACAGAATCTTAATAAATATCCTGTTGGAACTAGTGGTGTCTTCCCCGTTCAATTTTATACACGACAGTACGCTCCACGAAATGGAATCCGTGAATAGTAAATGGGCAAAAAATTTCGACACGTTCCGCAATTTGTTGCTATCGAGACGATGTATCGTATGATAGGAATCTTTGAAGATTTGCTCGAATGGTGTTACGTACATCTTATTGATGGCGCAAAACCGAACGGCTAAAAGTCCAAAGAACTTCTCGTACGTTCGCATCTCCGCGCAGCAGTCCAAGAACATGTGGCACAATTCGATCTCCTGTCCGGGTTTCAGTTGCATTTTCATCAACTTGTGTGCACATTCTTCGAAATCGAGCGAGGAATGTATCATCAAATATATAGTTCGACGAAGTGCGGTCAGATTTGTTTCTGTATTATCAAATATTACATCTTTCTTTCCTTCGACTTGTTCCGCGCTGCTATCTTCGTCCGAACTGTCATCTTCTCTATTCTCATCATTATCTTCCGAATCACTGACATCTGAACCAAGAATCTCTTTACATTTTTGCTTATACGTCTCCTCGCCAGCAAGATAATTTACATCAAACTTGAACACATTTAATATATCTTGCGTATCTATCTCGTCATCTAATCTTATCGAATGGGTGGATTGATCCTCCTCTTCCACAAGATTCAATTCTTGGGGAACAGCTTCGTGATCCTTAAATCCATCCTTTCTGATTTGAAACATAACTTCTATCATATATTGAACTCGCTTATCCAATTGTCCTTCGTGTAGTATGTTTCTTAACATCTCAAAGATGGCTTCTACACCTCTTCGCGAAACCTCTGTCAGCTTCATGCCACATTCCTTCAAAAATGCTATGGCCACTTCAACGAAATCATCTGTTGGTGTTTCCAATAACAGAGTCAAAATTTCTAAAGCAATAATTTCATAGGCTACACCTTGATTAACCAAATGTGCTATAAATGTGCCTGAGGATATACACAAAGGTTTATCATTTCTTTTAAACCCACGTTTAAATTGCAGAACGAGACGCGTCAATACCAATTCACCTATATCAGGGAACTTGGAATTGATTATAGCTGTTAGTGCTGCATAAACTGGAGTGAATGTTGGAGAAGCAGCTTGCGCTTGAATAATAGAACGCGCCAACAAACCTCTACCACGAACAATGTTTTCGTGCAACAATTCTCTTGTTATGATTCCTATATTACTAGTGTTAACCTTATTAATATAACCATGGATAGACTTCTTCAACGCCTCCCACGCAATACGTTGATAAGCAGCTCCAGACTTATCAGTTATCTCTGCTTGGAGCATACGCAATTTGGCAGGTGGAATGTAAGCACCTTCCGTCTTTGAAATCAGAAGATCCACTGTACGCTTTTGCCTAACTTCCTCTACATTCTCTTGCGTTTTATCCGGTTCTCCATAATACCTACTTCCTACTTCTTCTTCCGGCAAATTCTGCTTTCTGCCCCTTTCGCCATTATTATCCTTACGATCGTCGTTGTATTTAAGATTTTTTTTATCATCGCGTCTGGTATGCTGATGATCATTGTCACGTCTAAAACTTTGATGTTTACTGTCCCGTCTGGAACTCCTGTGATCATCGCACCTGGGACCTGGGACTACTGTGGTCATTGTTATGCCTAGACTCCTCACAATTGTCGTTGCGTTTGTGATCTTTTCGCTTATGATAGCTTTCCTCGTTCTCTTCTTCGTTTCGTTTTGAGTACGATCTCTTCATTTTTCTTGTATATATAACCTCGTGGTCACTTCGTTCTTGAACTGTTTTAAGGTTAAGGCCTTAAGCCCGTATCAGACTACGTATTAAAGATTGAAATTTGACCAATCAGGATAAAAGGAACTAAAATTTCCTTGTCCTGATTGGTCAAATTTCAATCTCAATGCATAATCTGATACGGGCTTTAGGTCTGTTCTTTATAGCTGAACTGGCTGCACTGGTTCAGAGCTTATCTTTCTCCTTCCAATGGGGAGAGAAAAAGATAAACTCTGAACTAGTGCAGCCAGTTCAGCTATAAAGGACAGTATGGTATGGTATACTGCTTAAGCTTTTTTATGTGCCACCATGATGTAAAAAACATGTGCCACGTCCCTTACTTCCGTTACAGCCTTGGTCGAGTACGGATGTGTTTTAGAGACAATCGCGCGCGTGGCGACGCTCCTGAGGAATTTCGGGATCCATTGATGGACACTCTTATGGAGGATCCAGTCAAGCTACCGTCTGGTATTGTTGTGGATAAAGCAGTTATCATTAGACATTTACTCAACAGTGTCACGGATCCTTTCAATCGGCACCCGCTTAGAGAAGATATGCTCGTGCCAAGTAAGTAATACATGTATTGTTCATATTTTTCTCTTTTTTGATAGTCAACTTTTGTTTAGTCTAATTGGTAACATCATTTCATAACAATGCATTTTCATATACATAAATATATTAGAAAAATATTTGATGCGTCATAGATGATATAGTTTTTGACTGTCCTTTAAAGTCTATCGTATTGAAGTTTTTTAATGTCTTATGCCGATTTAAAAATATGTATATAAACTATTGTAATTTTTTTTATCCATGTAGAAATATATCTCAAATTAATATTTATTTTCGAAATTGCAGTGCCCGATTTGAAAGAAAGAATATCAATATGGAAACAACAAAAGAAACAGTGCTAAGATGTATGTAAATATATAATATGTAATAACAAAACAATGGGATGAGATATTTTTGAAGATATTCTGAAATCTAAGACAGCAATCGAAAAAACGTTTAGGTAATCTCTCGTCAAAGGCAGAATTCGAGAAAAATAAATCTTTCTAGTATAAAAAAGTGGTTTCTTCGAAAGGAGGAAAAAATAGCTTCGCCAAGTAACGAGACGTTCTTCAATATTCAAAGTTTTCGTGCCAAAAGAGGAATCACTGACGTATGCAACAGGTATTGCTTCCTCTTTTGCGCTCCGATAACGACTGCTGACTCTTCACGGCAAGTCTGAGTGCCATCATCGCGAAAGATTCGCGATCTCACCAGTTTCATATATATATATAAATTCATTTTTGCAGCATTTGTTTTATAACGAGTTATTCACTGACGCTGCGAATGAATTAAAGACATCAGCCAAAACTACGACGGAAATTGAGAGTTTCGTAGCTCTCGCTGAGCGTGCGGCGGTAATCGTAAGAGACAATCGCGCGCGTGACGACGCTCCTAAGGAATTTCGGGATCCATTGATGGACACTCTTATGGAGGATCCAGTCAAGCTACCGTCTGGTATTGTTGTGGACAAAGCAGTTATCATTAGACATTTACTCAACAGTGTCACGGATTCTTTCAATCGGCACCCGCTTAGAGAAGATATGCTTGTGCCAAGTAAGTAATACTTGTATTGTTCATATTTTTCTCTTTTTTGATAAAGTCAACTTTTGTTTAGTCTAAATATTGGTAACATTTCATAACAATGCATTTTCATATACATAAATATATTAGAAAAATATTTGATGTGTCATAGATAATATAGTTTTTGACTGTCTTTTAAAGTCTATCGTATTGAAATTTTTTAATATCTTATGCCGATTTTAAAATATGTATATAAACTATTGTAAGTTTTTTTATCCATGTAGAAATATATACCAAATTAATATTTATTTTTGAAATTGCAGTGCCCGATTTGAAAGAAAGAATATCAATATGGAAACAACAAAAGAAACAGTGCTAAAGTGACAAGAATTATGCACATAAAAAAAAATATATAGGAAAGGAAAGAAAAAGGAAGAAAAAGATAAGCATTATAAATACCTATATATATACGTATGTATGTATGTATCTATGTAAAATAATGTAACACAATAAACATACAGCAATATATTATGAATAATAACAATAATATTCACTTGTGCTGTCTCTTTTGAGGATTTGTGGGCTGTATAATAGTAGTATGAAACTATTAAAATTTGGAAAAATTCTTATGTTTATATTGCTTGGAAAATCAAATAAATATATCTGGATAAAAAAAATTGTAGTATCACAAAATAATATGATTTTTAATGTCTTCATAATTGTTGTAATTTAATATTTTTCATAATTTATGACAAAAGTTTTTGGTCATGAATACCTCATAAAATTAATTTCAAAAAATAAAAAAAACTAAAACAGGAAGATTTTAAGTTAGGTAAAAGTATTTTGCTATAATTAATATAAAAGTTTTGCAGTTTGTATGCGCAAAATAGAATAACTTCGTCTTCGGAATTGCATGAAAGAATATAGGTGAACGTTTAAAAATGTATTTAGAAGCCTAGTAAAAAACATTTCGGTGTGCAAAATTTTCTATTCTTTCATGCAATTCCGAAGACGAAGTTATTCTATTCTGCGCATACAAACTGCAAAACTTTTATATTAAGCAAATATTGTTATGACCTGACGCACCGACGAGATATCATTAAAGACCGGTGGTCTTATGGGGTTTAGTGTGACTGGAAAAACAAAACGCGCTGCGCGTTATTTTAGTTCATCTAGTTATTGTTTTATTATCAAAAATGTATAGATTTTTTATATAACTGCCTCAAGAATAACAAAATAAATATTTTATCGTAAATTTACTGTTTTATTATCGACAATGCAAAGATTTACTTACCTACAGTACCGCGTGGCGAGTTTTTTACCAGTAATTTGCTAAATCCTATAAGACCATTGATCTCTAATGATATCTGGTCGGTGTTTTCAATAATAAAATAACTGGATGAAGTAAAATAACCGTATGAATTAAATAATTTGTGTAATTATTTTCGATCCTATCAAACGGCCGGTAATGTCAACATTCTTCAATTACCTTCAGGCCCACCGGGCCCACTTGATGGTCACAAAAGTTTATCCAGGGCTGACAGTCTTTAATAGTATCTCGTCGGTGCCTGACGCAAGAAGCCGGTAAAAAAACTAATTTTTTAGCTTTTCTTCGTTTTTAACATAAACTCGTGAAGTCTCATCTTTGTTTCGATGTGCACTTAAATCGTGGAAAAGGATTTATTATTCTATTCAACTAAAAAAAAGATTTTAATGTGCAAAATAATATTTTTTGGTCGGTAAAACAGACGAGCTTTTGGATCCCCTTAATATAAAAGTTTTGCAGTTTGTATGTACAAAATAAGATAGGTCTCCACTCGGAAATGCATGAAAGAATATAAGTGAACGTTTAAAAATGTATTTAGAAGCCTACTAGGCTTCTATAAATATTAATTATTATAGTCGGTAAAACAGGACAGTCTAGAGTCCTATATATCAGAGAAATCAGAGAAGCGACAATGGGGTTCCGCTTGCTGATTGACTGACCGCCACGGGCCCATGCCACTTAACGACCGCAACGCTCACGGTATTATTCCATCTTTGTTGTTCACCGAAAGTTAAACAAAGACAGATGATGCTCGCGAGCGTTGATATCATTAAGTGGAACGCGCCCTACGTTGGCGGTTAGTTTGCACGTAGTAAATTCTACGTGCAAACTAACTGCAACCGACGTACCGTAAGTAAGAAAAAAGTATATTTGTAATGTTATCTTCTAAAAAAAAAAACATTTTAAATATCTCTAAGGCCTGTTCTACAATAAGTCGTATGTCGTTAGTCGTAAGAAAAGTGACCAATTACAGTCGAATATTCTCGGAATAATCGACTGTCGTTGGTCAATTTGCTAACGACTAACGACATACGACTTATTGTAGAACGGGCCTTAGACATTTTTAAGACATTTTAGATTACACATGGACAGCTGCGGGACCAACATGGCGATCATGGGAAGCATGGAGGGGGTAACGATGTCGCTTCTCTGATTATATAGGACTCTAGATTCATAGTCCGTTCTTATATCCAAGATCGTCTTGGATCGTCTTAAGATCCCATTCAACCAATGAAATAGCCGCATAGCATCTTAAGACCATACTTGAGATGATCTCAAACGCAGTACGCAAAAACACGTCCTAACCCGACACGTTGTCAGTCGGAACTATTGATGATCTTAAATATAAGAACGGACTATGAATACCGGCCTAGGATAGTCCGGCATCCTCTTAAGCCCGTATCAGACTACATATTGAAGATCGAGATTGAAGATTAAAGATTGAAATTTGATCACTCAGGACGAAGAAATTTTAGTTCCTTTCCTTCTGATTAGTCAAATTTTAATCATTTCCATGCGATCTATGCGCTCAATGCGTGAAACGGAACGCAGCCTCTGATTGGTCAAATTTCAATCTCAATGCATAGTCTGATACGGGCTTAAGGAGCAATCGTTTGAGCTATTGGGCGCGTTCGGCAGAGAAAGCGTTCAGTTATTGTCTTGTCAACACTCGACGTTGATTTGTTGGTTTTAAAAGTAAGAGCCAATCACGTTGGATTGCTACTGAGTGGTTTTCTCTGCTGAACGCGCCCATTGTTTATTAAAAAATTTGATCTTCCAGCGCCAACATAAGCCCGGTGAATTTCTGTGCTATTATCGGTAAACGCGAATATCTTCAATAACGACCATCTATGAATGCGGGTGCCAACAATACCGAGCCGCGGGAATAAAGCGTGCGCATGCGCTATGCGTATCACGAATCAGATGTTTTTTTTTTTGCTCCACAGGATAAATGCTCTGACAAATATATTTGTTTTCGTGGGAACATTATGGAATACTCGCGGTCTTTTACTCGCTGCTCGAAGATGGAGAAAAGTAATCGCCGAATGATTCGGTCGTGATCGATCGCCGTTCGTCAGCGCAGCGCAGCAACAAGTCGGCTCGTACTATATATCATTTTTAATCAATCAATTTTCATTAATCCTTTTTCAACCTTTTAAGAGACATATGAGGGATAAGGTTCAAGTGGATTTGAATCTGGGATCTGCCGACTATCAGTCAGCGACTCTCGACGTAGAGCCACACATCGCCCCAAGTTGCCTCGTTACAGCGCTTGTAATTATGATTTCTCACGGCAAGTAGCGAGAACAACATGTCCGCTGTGTTCCGAATCGGTGTTGTCCGTGGCGATCGTTTGTTTACTAGCGGTACGATATGATAATACGCGCGCGACATACACGGCCTTTTGTCTAGCTGTGCTATACTATGAATGAATTACCGTCTCGTGGAGACGCGATACGCACACCGCTTCTGTCTGCCTTTTCTTCTTCAAACATCTCTGACACGGAGAAACCCTTGTACGGGTTAAGGGTTCGAGAGCGAACCTAATATCAGCTGCTTCACGCGTCACCCCATAAACGGCCTTAAAGACGAGCACGATGCATCTTCGCGCAGTGACGCCGTACGACGATCTTACGCGTACGAAATTCTCGTATGTGCATTGAATGAGGATGACGGAACCGGAACTTTGCCGGCTGTGTGCCGAGACCAAGAAGAATCTCATTGGGATTTACGAAGCCGAGGGACAGAAACTCGCGATCGAAGCTAAGATTGCAAAGTGTTTGCAGATACAGGTAAAATTTTAATAAATCGAATGTTCTCTCTTTATTGTTCCCATAAAATGTATCTAATTCAGAAAAACAGAAATGTTTTATTTGGTATTGTGGTTTTATTCCGAGATTCACTGCCAATACTATAAATCTATAATTCACGTATATATTATAAATTTCCAATACTAGCAATGAATTTCAAAATGCGTGTATAAATATAATTGTAAAGTGCATTGGTTCTAATGTGTCTTAAACATTAATTGATTGTAATTTATTATTATATGATTGTTATGTAGTTTCAACTTTTTCAAAAAAACGTACAAATTTGAAGTAATATACATTTACATACGTTTTACATTTTGCTAGCTTAATGTAATAAAAAATTTATAGAAATAAATTTTTGTTTTTCTCAAATTTTAGATAACATTTCTATTAAGAAGTTAACATAAACCTTGCAAAGGCAATTAATTTGAGTTTGTCATTTTATTGTCAATCTAGAGCAATAAAATTAAATTGTTTTTATATCCTATAAAATAGTTTACATATTTGTAGCTTACATAATTGCAATATAACTGCTTATGTATATATGAATTTAGTTATATCTAAATTACACAAATTTTGATATTTCTGATGTATTTTTTATCTTTAATAATGACTATTACAATTGCAGGTTCTAATAACAGACAGCTTGCCACTCACGGTTTGCATAGATTGTTGTGATTTATTGAATCAATGCAGCGAGTTTTTTGAGAAGACCAATAAAGCACAAATATCGCTAAAACAATTATTAATAAATTTAAAGCCTGAACCACAACCAATAGAACCAAATATAGATTACGTGGAAGAGACTATAGAGTTTCCAAAGGAGGATGAAGTCAACAACAGAGAAGAGATAGCTGAGCGCCAATCAGCTGGCAATTATATTAATGACACAGTCAATGTCTTGAATACTTACAATTTTATTGAAGGATGTAATAAAAGTGACAACTCCAAAACTCGGGAAACGCAAGATAACGCAAAACAGAAGAAGTGTAAGATACAGATAAAGAAGAGTTCCCCTAAACAAGCTAAAAAAAGATTAAAGAGGAGAAACCAGATGCAAAGAATGGAAGAAGAATCCGAGCTCCATATGTCTTCCCAAATAGACAAGGAACAGAATGATACAGCTGTAAAAAATAATTTGAAGATTGTAGATAATTATATACCTGGTAAGATATTTTAATATATATAAAAGAGATTAATATATATGTACTTCTAATTTTATTTCCTTTGTTTGCTTATGCCTTTAAAATCGTCATGTTTAGATATCATAATTAATGTCAATATAGATCTGTTATAAGTCTAATATAATATATATGTTTTTAATTTAGAGACAGAATCTAATTTAGAAATGAGAGAAACGCGAACAATGGAAACAACTAAGCATGGAAGGAAAAAGACAGAAGGTTTAGAGAGATATCCATGGCTGTGTACAGATTGCAATGACAAATTACCAAGTCTAGAAGCATTAGAGGAACACCATGAAACAGTGCATAATCAAAAAGCCAAGTATATGTGTGTGCAATGTTGTAAGGTCTATGATAAATACTATGGATTTCTTACTCATGTTAAAAGACACAAGAATAAGGCAAAGTTTAGGTACAAATTGTTTGCTGTGTACAATCATGTAAAATTTTGGATATATGAACATGTTAATATTGTTCAATCTACTTTTAGCTGTGAAGACTGTGGAAAATCGTTTGTACATAAAAAAGTATTAGACTCTCATAAGACAATTCACAGTGAAGAACGGCCATTTGTATGCCAAACTTGTGGTAAAGCTTTTAGACAGCAAAGTGCTTTATATATCCATAATCGATGCCATTTACCCGATACTGTGAAAAACAGATATCCATGTGATCAATGTGATAAGAGGTTAATATGATTTTTTTTTTCATATTTCAGAATGATTATATTTCACAATGTATATCTATATAATTGGATGATAAAATTTATTTTTAGATTTTCTACAAAACCAAATCTGGTAACGCACAAACGTATTCATTCTGGTGTCAGAAATTTTACATGTGATCAATGTGGCAAGAGTTTTATACAGAAAGGAAATTTAGAAGCCCATTTTTTAACTCATTCAATAGATAAGCCATATAGCTGCTCTCAATGTCCAAAAGCGTAAGTCAGAATATCATGAACATATTAAATTATCATATTCATGTATATTATTATATACATGATATATTATATACAATACATGATTTTAAAAAGAATGAAATGATATTGTATAGATTTAAAACACCCTTGCAATTGAAGAAACATGAGACAGTGCATACAGGTGCCAAGCCGCATCAGTGCGATGTGTGTGGAAGAACCTTTAGGGAGAAAGGAACTTTAAGGGAACATCACAGAATACATACCGGCGCTATGCCATTTACTTGTGAATTTTGCGGGAAACGCTTCCGTTTCAAAGGGATATTAACTGTAAGTTATTATGAGATTTTAATCGTATGACATTTTTAAAATACCGATTTAATACTATCATTTCGCAATTGCAGACACATAGGCGACAGCATACGGGAGAGCGTCCGTACAGTTGTTTAGAATGTCAGCACCACTTTACAAATTGGCCAAATTACAATAAGCATATGAAGCGTCGACATGGAATCAATACTTCTCACACTAAACATTTAACAAACAATCAGCAGTTGCAACAGACGGCAGAACAAACACAGCCTCTCGAGGAAGAAGATCCGCTCTCTGTATCTCAAACAGAATCTACGACAGCGCAAGTATAAAATGTTTATTTTCTAGTATTAATGTATGTATCAATAATAATAAAGTAAAGGAAAAGAAATAATATATTAAAACATTGGATGTGAGATGATCTAAGTTGAGTTAAAATATCATACGAATTTGAATTTGTTTTGGAACAATAGCTTATGTGTATTCGATTAATGCAATGTATAAATATTTAAATGTTGTATTTTTACAGGTAATACAAGCAGTTCCTTACGCTTCAACATCACAACCCATAGTTATCCAAGCTATTCCAACGACTACTATTCAGACTTTCCAAACGGACGTCAATGGTACTGTTCAAGAAACTGTATTCAGAGAACGAAACACGACTTATTTCAATGCAGTACCGGCCGCGCTCCAAAACTTTTTGCCAACAAACTTGCCGTATAATTTTTATAGCATTTCAAATGTTACGGAAAATGATTTAATTCAACATAGATAAAATTGTTTTTGAAAACCAAGCTTAAATAAAGACAACTGTGTTTTTGTGCCGATCAATCATGAATCGAGATATGTACGATATAATGTAATGTTATTAAAATCACATAATGCGAAATACAAAAATACATACAAAGATACAGCTACAAACTGAGGAACAAGAAACTTTATTGATAATCAAGTGTAAATTAAATGAATCCATTAGTTTGAAATTAATCTTTAATTAATTAAAACAACGAATTTTATAAATACTTTGTCGCAATGATTTATAATGATATATAAGATCTCCAAAAAACAAAAAGATTTGCATAAAAATATGCAATTAGAGAAATCATAAAACTTTATTATGTGAATAAATATCAGTCTTTTGTATATAAGAATAAAAACCAGAAGAAATAAAAAAATATTAGAATAAATTAGAATTAAGGGAAAGAATAAAAAAACTAAATAAAATATTCACATACATTTTATATTGTGTACCATGATTAGTATTAAGAATATTATTAAAATTTGTATGTGTATTTATATTTATACATGTACACCTGTTAAACTACATTTATTATTAAATACATTTCACATATACATTTTTATAATAAAAATGTATATTGTAGCTCTAATTTGTATATATTATATAATTTTGCATTCTTGTAATTATGTTTTTTCACAGTATCTTTTTAATGTAAGTTGTAAATATTTGCATATCGCATATACATTTTATATAATTATTGAAATAATCACTGAGTGGGAAAGGATTTTAACAGTAATGAGATGTTTCCTCTTTGCTCAATGATTCTGTTGAAAGAGTTGAAGAGAGATATGTATTAATAATCAAGGAGGGAGACGACTACTATCGCTCAATACTATATCTATATATTGAAATCAGATTACACGTCACATAGGTATTAGTTCAAGTACAAATCTTTATCACGGAGTCACGGAGGAAAAACGTATCGTTAGTCAGTTGCGCATATTGTAACGTATCTTTCTTAACATTTTTATAATAATTCCTCCTTTTTCTCGTAAATAAAAAAATACAACGTATTTTTTGAAATACAGATTTCTACGAGAACTTCGGCAAAGTACTTTGGATAACCTAGTAGAAATTAATCGTGTACGACGGTTATAGAATGGGTTTCAAGAATGTCACTCATTGCATTTTCGATATGGACGGTTTGTTATTGGGTAAAGACACTTTCCAAATTCTCGAAAAAATAATATTTATGTGCATTTGATTTTATAAAATATTTTTATATGATATAATAAAAATTTTATTACATCATTTGTAATATTATATCAACATCTTAATATTGAATATTAACTTCTCTTTTGACAACTTCTCTTTTAGTATTAATTTTTTATAAAAATCAGAAATATTTTATTAAAAAATAAGAAAATACAATTGATATTTCTTTATATTCTGTAGATACAGAATCGCTGTACACAATAGCATACAATCGTGTCATTCAAGAGTATGGGAAAACGTTTACTTGGGAACACAAGGCAAAAATCATGGGTTTAAAATGCACTGAAGGCGTGCAAACTATAATAAATATGTTACAGCTGCCAATTACATTGCAAATGTTTGAGGACAAGCTCGCTTCTATATACCAAGAAATATTTCCTCAATGTAACCTTATGCCAGGTAAGTTGAAGCAAAGTGAAACTAATTTAGTATTATATCCTAGCTGATTTTAATACAGATATTACATGCAGGTGCGGAAAGACTGCTGCTGCATCTTAAAAAAAATAATATACCTATTGCACTAGCTACGAGTTCAAGCCAAGAGAGTAGCGATCTGAAAACCCAGAAATGGAAACACATATTTAACTTATTTAATCATAAAGTATATGGTGGTTCTGACCCAGAAGTTTTGCATGGGAAACCAAGTCCAGATATATTTTTGATTGCTGCAAAACGTTTTCCCGATAATCCTGATCCTTTAAAGGTTTGTAGACTTTAACTCATTTCACATATTCTTGAAATTAACTTATTTCTCTATCTATATTGTAGTGTCTAGTCTTTGAAGATTCACCAAATGGAGTGCAGGGTGCACTTGCTGCTAAAATGCAAGTGGTAATGGTACCGGATCCTCAGCTTCCTAAAGACCTCACTAAGGATGCTACATTGGTCTTAAAAAGTCTGGAAGACTTTAAGCCAGAGGATTTTGGATTACCACCATTTGTAGACTGAGATTATTTATTTTAGTTCACCAAAAAGAATATAGAAATGAATTAGATTTAATTTTATGTAACTAAAGCCAGATATAGGCATAATTATTGACAAGAAAGATAAAAGCCTGCAGGCAGGTTTTCGTCAATGCAGATGTGAAATCTGACTGATGAACATAGATTTTATTAAAAAAAAAAAGAAAAAATTATAAAAGTATTATGTTCGAAAGAGATATTTTCATACTTGCATAGAGGAATTATCACACTGCCTGAAGTTTAATGTGAGTATAATGTGATTAAAAACATACTTAATTACATATATTGTAATTATACAATAGAGATCTTGTGGTACTTATGTTTATTACAGTATAGATATATTTATATGTATCTATAATTTACTAAATTAGAAATGTTTAAATATTTTTTTTAGCTTATAATCGTCAAAATAAACTTGCAAAAAATGTAGCACATGCTGTATGAAAGATCAACTGCTTGGTATATATAAAAAAAAAAATTAAAAAGATAAATATTTCTCTGCTATAGAAAATGATAATTCTTTCTATAGTCTTGTAAAATTGTATCTGTGTTAGCTCAAACACATACAAAAGTACAATTTCTCAAGATTTCTGTAAATGATTTTAATCTCTTCTTACTTGAAATTGATATACTATTCTTATTTGAAACATTGATATAATTATTTTATTACAACATACTATACATATTATGATATATATTTATCAAATATTTATTTTTGAGATGCTAACTCTTGAACTCTTCCGAGTACTTCTTCAGATTTCAGATTTGACAGGGGTACACAACGTTCTACACCATATTCTGTAACATAATTTACAAAAATAAATGACATTTGAACGAGTATTTGTATTCGAAGAAAAAAACGTTATTTGTAAAGTGACCTGATATCATCTATAAAAAATTATATTCATCTTTGCGTACCATAACGCGCGTAAAGTTTCGGTTCGATTGACGAGCATTCCCTAATCAAAACGGGAAATCTTGGATTATTTTTCTTCAACGGTACATATTGTTGTTCGATGAAATCTCTGTAATGTACACACACAAGTTGACTGAAATTGATTCAGATCACAGACCATCGCCTCTATCGTTTGTTACGACTTTACCTAACACCTTGACTAGATTTTGACCTTTGGCAGAGGAGGATTCTCAACTCTTTCAAATGTTTCCCAAATTTCACGGTAGCCATATCTTTCGATTATTTACGATCTTTTAAAAACACACCACTTTCATCACAATTCCAATCCTGTGCAATATATCACGTTGGGTTGGGGTTTTGTTATTATATCATTAAATTCGTGCATGTAGCTGCCATCTAAGTTTATTTTTATCTTTCGTAACTTCGTACAGAAACGAGACTGAGAGCGGTCATTCGAGTGTTTTTCGTGATGTTCTTGCGTCATCTACATCCATTTCAGAAACTACATAGAATTATAGTAGCCACTTCATTTTCCGACACTGCCGATAAAATCATTCGATGTGTGTCTATACTAATTGTGGATCAGGAACACACGAATGATCGAATTCGGAATAGTTTCCTAATATTATCGCAATTGTATTAATTTTTTGTTATAAATATAACATGTAATATAATGAAAAATTATGTCCATTTATAATTAATTTTTCAACAATTTTTCATCCTATACAAAACACGTGATCTAAATGTACATTAAATTTTCGTGTTTGCCGGCGAATAGATGTTTCTAAAGAGAAGCATGAGCATCAAAACAACTAATTAATACAGAGATTTTTATTTCATTCAGCTTCATATATCTTAATACTACGCATGTAATATATATGTATATTTCCATTGATAAATACGTACAATAAAAAAATTATAAATGCTTTTACAATTATCAGATAGATACTTTTCGCATCACTGCCATTCATTTCTATATATTGTTTTTAATACATTTACAAACTTTATATAATTTTAATTATATATTTTTTACACACGAATTATTTATGCAAGTATATAGAAACAGTTGTCATACATAGATAACCATAATTGAATGGTGAAAAAAAAGTGGAGAGTTGGGGTATCGATTCGGTCCTAATTCTCAGGTCAACGGACATACATACATCAATTTTTAGCTCTTCAAAGGTTTCTGGTCTCCTTAATGAAAAAAGAACCGCACCCATGACAAACATTCTTATAATTGTCGACATCGGTATCTTATGTATGTATGCGCATACTCACTTTCTCATTGCTAGTATAAAGCGTTTAAATATAAGTAACGTTACTTATAATTGGAGACCAAGCAACTCTATCTAAAAAAAATATTTTTTAATTACAGATACGGATAAGTCTCTGTAAAATCAATCAATTTTATAGAAAGTCTCTTCAACTTTGCATTTAAAAATCTTTAATATTTTGAGATAGAGCAATAAGATTGAGCAATAAGAGAACATATAATTTAATTTGTATATTTCATGTTTAAAATTTCTTTTGTTTTAACTCTTACGGAAAATGTTCCAAGCTTTTCAAATGTAAAAAAAAAGAATTTTGCAATGAATTTACATTTGGCATCATACGGAACATTCTAGCGGCAGAGCGAATAATAATGCTAGTAATGGAATCCGCTAATAGACTCCTTTGTTGAAGCTTAAAATGCGAAAGAGAAAACACTTGGAGCAGCAACACTGCGGAAAGAAAAATCGCGCCACAAGTGGGATCGCGAATATGACGATTATTTATAAAATGTTCGCCGGGGAGCAATTTAATTTCGTCTGCAATTGAAACAAATATTATCCAACCGATCACGCGCCGATTGACTTTTCCGCCTGACGGATTTTTGACAGCTTTTCGGCACAAAGACAAACTGTAATAACAAATTAATTAAACAAATCTATCAACTCGAAGGAAATTTTTTTCGCTTTCGCGTACATCTCCTCGGTTTCATCATTTCAGTTGCCTCTTCTGCAACGCGTGATTTCCGTTACAGATGGGGCCCTACGTGAACAGATGTAGATCTTTTTTTGGAAATCTTTTTTAACTCGAGACTATCGAGAGTTAATGATGCGTAAGCAGAAATGCGGCGAAATTCGAGGAAATGTTAATACATCGATTCAAAGTCGAACATCAATACGTTAGGAAATCACAGGTCCGCCGTAAGATTTTTATTTTTTTCTGGTTTGCGTAAAAACGCCATTTTTCTCATTTACAATAAAAGAATAATAATTTAATGTGATATTAGAAGAAGTTTTTTTATAAACAGAGAAATTTTTGAAAAGTTATATATATAGACGCTTTAAATATTATGTCATCATTACGCGCGAGCGCGAATCGGAAAATGCTTCCCTACTTTTTCGCGGCGATCACAATCATTAATCGGAGGGGGGTCCTCATTATTCCATGCGAATACACCTGTGTGTTATAATAACATAATTATTAGAAAAAGATTCAGTTATACTTTATTATGAGTGTATTTACGATCCTGGTTAATAATTATATATGCTATTATAACATACAGGTGTATTTGCATGAAATAATGAGGATCCCCCTCCGATTAATGACCGTGATCGCCACGAAAAAGTGGGGAAGTATTTTCGGATTCGCGCTCGCGCATGACATAATATTTAAAGCGTCGCGGCGACGATTCCGGTCAACGTGTCGATCCATCGTCATCGACGAGCGACGTCCAAGGGAGGTCACGACATTTCCGTACCATCCACAATCCGCAGTCGCAGATTAGGCTTCTTCGTCGTGCAATCGAGCAGATTGCGCCTGTCGTAGTACCGGACACTGCTCTTGGAAATTTTCCCGGTGCTGCATCATGGTCAGCCGCATCTCTACCATCTCCCTGTCAGTAGGTCAGTCTCTAATTTCATTCTATATTTTCAATGGGGTACTTGTTGATTAAAATCTAAGAAAAAGGTATACTTAATAAATTATCTCGTTGCGACATGTATTAATATCATATATTTTGAATTAATTTTAAAATCACAATTTCTTTAAATTTTAATATTAAAATCAAAATTTTAATCTCAAACATACATAGAATTTATATTAAACTGTTGAAACTGTTTTAGCAAGAATCTTTTGTGTGAGATTAAATTTCAGTGTTAGAAGATTAAAACTATCTCCTATTTATTTCCTCTTTTGGTACGAACTCGTAAGATATTTTTGATGTATTGCCAACTGATTAAAATCTGATTCTTTAGCATTGCCTCGATGATATCACACACTTGTTTTCAAATCTTATTATTTTATTATCTCGCTGCCAAGTTTTCAGTTTGCTTTTCTATGTAAACAGAAAAATAAATATTTAAAAAATTGTATATATATATATATAGGAATGTGAATGACACGCACATTCTTTCGATTCCATAATGCAGACAACTAAATATAGGAAAATGTTGACGTGTGTAATCAATTTATGTCAATGTATATACGTGATCTACGTATATACGTGATGTATCTTGGCAAAATTGTGAATACTATCAAATTTTGAATGTACGCGTATGTTTGTTTATAAAACTTCGAATGTTACATAATTTTCGAGCACATCGACGGTGCGATATAAATGAATACGTGTTCATAACACAAACCAGATATCTCGGGTAAAGAAAATTTAATTTTAGATTTAATGTATTATTACGAATCATGGCGTTTTACAATAATTATCGTACTTCTATCTCTCTTTAAATAAATTTAAGAAAACTTTGATCTTTTTAGAAAAAGAAAATCGCAATGCGTCCACAGAAGAAATCGCAGATTTTGAGAAAGCGATGGAGATATGTGGTAAATTCTTATTACATTATTGATTTATAATCATCCACTTTGCATGACGTTCAGCTTCTTTAAATTAGACTTCTCGTTCATAGGAAACGGAAGATATCAGTACACTTTGCTGCTGGTTTGCGGCGTGATATTCATGTGCGTCGGCTGTCAATATGGTGCAAACGCATACATTTTGCCGTCAGCTGAATGTGATCTGAACATGAGATCTGAAGAAAAAGGGCTTTTGAACGTCGCCTTCCTCCTAGGTAAAATCCCAGATTTACTGAACTTGCATTTATCTTTCTCAAAACTTACGCTTTTAAATCATAAAGGCTTCTGAAGCTTACATTTAGATTATTAATACTTAAATTTGATCCCTCCAGGTTCGGTGATCAGCGCCCTTTTCTGGGGAGTTTTCGCAGGCGCCTATGGAAGAAGAAATATCCTGTTGCTGACTCTCTTTTCCGATAGTATCTTGACGCTGATTGGAAGTTTCTCGCAAAGCTTCAATCTATTCCTAGTGTTTAGAATCATAAGCGGATTCATGTGAGTAACAAGTAGCCGTGAATAAAACACAAAACATGATGTCGTATATATGTCATGCCTGTATATGATTTATCTGCTAATTTTAGGATGGGCGCACCTGGTTCCTTATTATATACGTATCTCGGTGAATTTTATGCAGAGAAGCACAGAGCGAAAAGCATTTGTTTCCTAGGCTTTTTCTTCACTCTTGCTTGGTTGATATTACCTGGTAATGATTTTTTTTTAATATTATCAATAGATAAGGAACTCTTATATATAATGTGCGTTACATTTTTTAGATGATATATTATTTATTTAAATTAAGATTTATTGTTGATTTTAAGGTTTATTATTGATTTTAAGATTTATTATTGATATAAATTATTAAATATATTATAATAGATTCGCAAATTATTAATTTATTGACAATCATTAATTTATCCAGGCTTGGCGTGGATTATTATACCGTTGCCGATATCCTTCGACTTCTACGGCATTCGGTACAATTCTTGGAGATTATTCCTTGGCGTTATTAGCCTACCAATTTTCACTATAGCAGTGATAGCTCTCATATATCCCGAAAGCCCAAAGTTCCTGTTGTCACAAGGTAAAACCAAAGAGGCTCTCGTGATTATCCAAAAGATCTACGCGGTAAACACTGGACGTGATAAAAGCGAATTTCCAGTAAGTGCAAAAATAATGATCACTTTTTGAATAACATCTCCGGATTAAATTGCAAACATATCTTTCTTCAATTGGCAATGTGTCTTTATTTAGGTGAAGGAACTCCTTTCTGAAGCCGGATTCGAATTTAAAAAAGACAAGACACCAGTTTCCTCATCGGATATGTTAGCGGAATTGCTGAAAAATATTTGGTGGCAATTGCGTACCATTGCTTCGCCACCCTTCTTAAAGTACGCCATTCTCTTGTGGATGATTTATTTCACAAACATGTTCGGGTGAGTTTCTCTCAACTGTTAAAGCATACGCACCCCTCTCTTGAGTACTATTCAAAAAATATTTATTAAAATTACATAATTTCATTAGCGAAAAAAAGTCCTCTATTCTTACATCTCTTTATATTATTACTTTTTATTATAATATTATATATTATAGTAATAATATAACGAAAATATTTAATTGTATTAATATAAAAAGAAATATTTTTCAACCGGCGTGTTTAGGTACTATGGCTTTAGTCTCTGGCAGCCGGAATTGTTCAATCGTTTCGAGAGCTATCATCAATCGCATCCGAATGCATCAGTGACGGTCTGTGAGCTGATACACAATACGCAGTCAATGAATGTCACCGTTCTGGAAGAACCATTTGTCCTTTTGGCAAACGAAGCCACAGCGGAATGTAAGCCGCACATAGACGACCGGGTATTCATTAACTCTCTGACGATCAATGCCGTTTGCTTATTCGGGAATATTATTTCCGGACATCTGGCAAATCGAGTTGGTCGTCGAACAATGCCGGGTAAATAGGGTTCAATGAGCTGAATTATTATTACTAATACTATTATTGCAAAGTTGCTTTTTTTCAAGATCTGTGGTTTATCTTTTTAACATGAATATTTTTTTCTTTCATATAGTGATTACAATGCTTATAGCTGGTATCGCTGGTCTCGGTATGTACTTCGTCAAATCCTCGCTGCAGATCGTTATAACAGCGTGCATTTTTTCCCTGATGTTGACCACGGCAAACATCGTGCTTTCCAGCGTGGCAGTCGACGTCTTCCCCACGCATATATCCGCCGTTGCGTTATGCATGATGGCCTGCTTGGGCAGATGTGGCGCGGTAGCGAGTAATCTAGCATTCGGTATGCTGCTGGATCTCAGCTGCGAGATCCCGATATTCCTACTAGCCGCTATCACCATATGTGAGTATAGTAAAATATGTCAGATTCATTTAAGAAAAATTAAAACAGAATCACAATATATAATTAATATTTCCAAAAACTCGTAGTCACTTTTTTGTCACATTTAATTTTATCAAATAATTTTCGCAAAACTTAATTTTAATAGATTAAGCGAATAGTAGAGAATTATCAAAATTGAGTAGTGCTAAAATAAAAGATAAAAAGGATAATAATAAACAACTTATCCTCTTCAGTTGGCGGAATGCTGTCCTTTCTGATTCCAAACAAAGACAAGAAGTGAAAATCAAAAGAAAACTAGAAGAGAGAAGGACATGTATTAAACTTGAAAAAAAGTTCAAAGTGTCAAATAAAATGTTCCGTATTATTTTTTACGTGCTGTGACGTTTGCGCACAATTTGGAATACACGATGGTGCCTATTAATCTGTAAATAATAATTATTACCATCGATCGACAAATTCTCGATTTTATCAAAGTTTATATTCCAATTTTTTTATACTTGCATCTTATATCAATGTTCAGTGAAATCAAAACAATTATATAGAGAGATTTATATTTTTAAGTATATTTAATTTATTTTGAGAACTACGCAATGTATTCGTTCATATTTATTTGGATAAACAATTTTGAATAATAAATAATAATCTCAATTTTTATCAATCATCAATCAATTCATTAATGTTTTGATTTTATTGAACAATGATATATTTTATATCTAACGAGCGCTTGTCGATCAAATTGCATTTCTTTGTAAATAATCATTCCAACAGATATTTATAAAATTATATTTGTATATCTCTTACATCCGTGTGGAATGTAATACGCTGCGTAGCCTTGGATGCGTGTTTCAATTAGTGATGAAAGAAATGTGAAGAGCGATCTGTTTCTTTGTTACGAGTGTTCGAATTTAAAAATAAAGTGTTAATATTAAATGTTAAAAATGAAATGATAGAGAGAGAGAGAGAGAGAGAGAGAAAAAGAAAAGGCATTTTAATTTGTTGGTGTCCAATTCCGTGAAAAAAGTGGCGTGATGATTCGGAAAATGTTATCCTTGTATTACATTGTTGGCGAGGAAGGGAAAG